ATATTATTAATCGAGATATCGAGATAATATAACGAGATAATCGCTAAACACATATATGTATATGTGTGTTTAGCGATTATCTCGTACATCTTGCTATTAGCAGCATCAGAGAGTAACAATCAGCGCGAAAAAACGCAGTAGAAAACGCACGTTATTTCAGGCTTATGTTGTTGTGCGCAAAAAGCAAAAAACAAAACAACAATAAATAAACAACCAAAAACAAAACACAGTTCATATTCAAAGAAGGTAGTATTACCCAGTCACTTACTATAATAATATTAATAGTACACGCACACAGTTCTGCAGCAGCAGTAGCCCTAGAGAGCTTCAGCAATCCAGTCAGAGCCATGCTAACCGTTAACTGGTGGACCGAGTGATTCATCATTGGCTGCAGGTAAGCAAGCATATTCCGTAGTCAGTATCTATCATCGTAAATAGCCAATCGTGCAAGGCTGTTGCCTTGAAGGTTTCCTCGTTTTCAGCTCACCAACAACCACAATAAAAACGATAAAAAAAACAACGACCTGCAATCCATTGTGAGAAGAGTAAGGCCAACTACGTTCGTCACCATCTTGTCACAACAATATGATGCAACAATATCAAGGCAATAGCACTGCGCGGTTGGCTATCGACAATGATAGACACTAACTATGGAATATGCTCAGTCAGTCATGAGTCACTTGGTCCGCCAGTGAACGGTTTGGATGGCTTTGACTGGCTCTCTATGGCTACAGCTGCTGTGGGACTGTGTGTGTACTCTTAGTATTTTTTTAGTAAGTTATTGGGTCGATGAGCAGAGAGGAGTTAACGACTGACCCAATCAGCGACTGGCCCAACGTAATAAATGCTATCGTGACATATAACAGTGCCGTAGACGATGGCGAAGACAGCTGGCGAAGCTGCAGCAACCCCCGATTCCGACTGGATTCAGATTAAAGAGATAAAAGAGGTAGGAAAAAGGAAGGAACGACAGAGATTAGTGGCGGCCATAGTGACTCGTGGTTCTTGAGCAGTCTAGTAGAGTGGTCAGCCATTGTTGTTATTGTCATTACTGTCATAGCGCCTCATTCATGCTAAGCTATTATGGTAATCACACTAGTAAGACTAATAATAACGGTGTTATATATCATAACAATCGTACTATAGTACGGGGGTGGTGAGGAAGAGACTGAGGGTCATCGTCGCTGTATATACTGTACAATACTACGAGTGCAGTTGTTGTCCCTTGTTCTTGTCACTGTTCTTTGCGTTGTTGCTGTTGTTGTTTGTGATGCTGCATTAATTATAGGTTGGGACAGGCAGGGATACATAAGGAGTTACCTGAAAGAATGAAAGCGATAGAGTCACCCTATTTAACGCATCTGATATTACCAAAGTTACTCTTCCTTTTATTTCAATTCTCGCGCAGTGCTTACAACTTGAGTACTGCATAAAAAACGAAACCTAAAAAACTACCACATATACAGATAATCTTTTGATGATTTTTTTATTACTAATTCATACAACAATCTAATTTAATAAATCGTGCATCATGCATACATCAGCCATGATGCACACCAGTAGCCAAACTGGGTATGTATTAGATTGTAATATAAGCATTGGTTGTTTGTTTTGAATGTTCGTTTTATTTTTATTTTTCTGTTGTTAATTTCCAAACACCATTAGAAACGCATGTTTTCTCTAAGTTCGTCGTTGTTTAATTGTGAAATAAATTGAAATTCCCGTTGCGTCTCGGGTTCAAAGATGAAGGCTCCATGTGAAGAAGTGCTCCATTTACACCTACAGTTCTGGCTTCCGCTTAAGTCAAGGGCTGCTGAGGCAACCTGGGATATTTGTGACACGTACGACAAGGACTGTATAACAAAAAGGAATGCTCGATGAAATTTACTAGGTTTGAAAATAGTATCTTAGACCTGGAGGTTATAGCATACTCTTGTGGGCCGACCAATGTCGATGGAGTCCAATTAATCAGCAATTGCCAGCTCCAGAGAACTGTCAGACGTTCGATAGAATTTATTTAGAAATTAAGAAATCGTATTGCAATAGACTGGCTGAAGCACATGAGAAAATAATAGCATCTCATCAACCCTCAATATTTTACCTGGCATCATGCATCGTGCAGCCACAATGACATAGAATCGCTGCGAGTGACGAAAACTAGCGTTTCCACATCCATATGAAGAATAGTTTCGGGAGATACACCTAGGTTCTGAGTTAAACCAGAATAACGATGATTTGCGTTCGATGGGATGGAAGTGGTTTTATCCACTGGGAAATGCTTACAACAAGGATTTATAGATACCCCAGTTACTTCGCATGAACGGAGCTGTTCAACAGAAAAAAAAGCCGATATACGTGGCAAAGTCTCTATTTTCTGTCAACATCAGGCTGCAAATTGCAAAAGTTGTGCGAACCGCTCTTGAACTTGAGTACGAGGTTATTTTGTACCCTTAATGTTCTCCAAAGCGATTTCCATCGTTTTCAGTAATAAATCAAAACAGTAGTCGTATATTTAACAGTGAAACTGGCCTCAAGGGCTGGCCGGACAAGCTCCTCATCAGAAGACCGGAGAGTCTTTGGGAAAAGACGAATAAATTAAAAGACGGAGAAAGGTCTTCGAGAGCGAAGGGGAACACATTCTAAATTAATTTGTCGCTAAAATTCGAATAGAACGCTGTGTTTGTTGTTATATGAAGAAAAATGGCCATATTTCATATCCCAAACTAATGGGTAGCTGAATTTCTCACATACGATAGATTAGAGTCGAAGCTGTATTCGTACACAGCCTTGAGCGGAAACGAAATTTCGGAGATGGCCAAGGCATCATTAGACATTAACCCTACGTTAAAAAACAACAAAATTGATGTGAATGTATATGGATTAAAACAAAATTACTGCTATTTAGGTTTTTTTACTATGGGCGCAGTGTTCGGGTCCAGATTCTCTTCTGTCGATGTCGTTATCAGCAAATTTCAATTATGGCAACTACTTAGAAAATGCCTAAATTAGGTTTCAGAAAGTTGGGATATAGAATATAAATTAAGAAACGTAAAAGTACCATGATGTGAATCCCAGTTGAATTTCGTCCCAATCATCAGCTGAAATTGTTCAGCATATTTTGGCTGCAGCAGATTGTTGAATATATTGTCATTGCTTTGATGATATTGGTGTGATGTTGTTGTAGTCTAGCCAGGACCGCCTCACCTTCAATTTGGTAATACTTCTTCGGAGTATATGGTTATTAAACAGATACACATAGAAAATTCAAACTTCTGAAAATCGAATAGGATTAATGTTGTTGACTTAGTAGTTATAGTGTGACTAATCGTTTGCGGCTTTACGATTGAATCGTAAGTAGTTTGCATGGCCACCATGAGAGAAAGTGTACTAGGTACAAAGGAAAGAATCATAGTCCCATTTCAAATATTCCCGAGGAATCACAACCGGCTTCTAACGTTGTGCGGTCGCAACAAGGTAGCTCTGTTTTTCAAACAACACATTTTATATTACTACGACTACTATCAGTTTCAGAAAATAAAACATGAGGAGGATTGGAGAGTGTATTGCACTCGATATTAATCAAGGCGAAAGCCGTTCTCATTTGTTAGTCGCATAGCTCTTCATTATACAAAAAATATTTGTTGAATTCTAGTTATAAGTTGGTTTTTCTCGAACTGTATATTACCTCCTGCTGCCGCTTTCGGCATTAATTTTATGCGGTGGTTTAGGTTGAAACATGAGCGTAGATACTTTTCTTTTGTACTAAAAGTCAGCTATCTAAAGCAATGCCTAGTGAAGTACTGGCCACACAAGTCGAAACATTCCGCAATAACTTTTTTAAAATGACGCAGCTGAGGCAGTCCAGTAAGTAGAAAGGACCACTCACTTATTTTTACGTTACTCCCTATTTAAAAAAGGCATTCAAATAGTTTACCATCTTCGCAAACTAACGATTACCTTGTGAACGAAGTCTCTTTTTTATTGTTCTCTTTCCTGACAACCTTTGCTGACGATAAGGCAGTATCAGCCGTTAAAAGCCCCCTGGTTCTTAAAGCCCTTTCCTTTGGATTACTTGAATTACTACACTTCGTCGATACATTTCCAATATTCTACTTCAAAAGTTAATATGTCGAATGCCAAGTAATCGCACTCCTAAATTATTATTATTTTATGTAGATCAAAAAGGCGATAAAATGATGAGATAAGCTAGGATTTTTGGGGGGCTTTATAGCTATGGATATTAACTAGCTTGCTAAATTCAGAAACGGCGTTTTTGATATAAGGAAGGTATTGCACTCAACCTTTTGCATTTAACGAAAATCGCTTTGAGCTACGTTCGAAGCAGGATTGATATTATGTAAACTAATACCTCTTAGCTGTTCGATTTTCATTGTGTGCGGATTTGTATCCTGGATCCGTTCTACGGTCTTACAAATCGGTAAAATGTCGATGTCACAGATTGTTCACTTAAGAGTTCAAAATCAAGGTAAAATTTCGTGATCCGATTTGCAACAATTTATAATAAAATGATGACGCTCTTGATGCATCATCATCACCAATACCTTTAGTTCAAAATCATATATTATAAGTCTCTATCTAATTTCGATATTCCGATATTGCTGAATTCGTCGAATTGTTTGTAAGGGTAGAACCTAGATTCGTTAGAAGCTTTTTAGAGAGGTAAAATAGCGCGCCAGTTTGTTGTTCGTTTATTTGTCTTGTAAGTGTAACAACCCTTTTACACGTGCATTCTATGCCGCACGTCAATCGGATCAAGTAGTCTAGCGACTTTAGCTGCCGCTGCTCTTGTTGTCCTGTTAGAACAACGCTGATATTTGAGCACCAGTTCTAGTAGAATTTTGTAAAAGGTTTGATTAATATCTCTACTTTCCATAGCTCTCATATGACGGCCAAATCAAGCACTCGGAAAATAGATAGGGAACAAACTCTTCAGGTATCTATCTACTAGGGTTACCGTGGTATAAGTTGCTGCAGTTGAAGTTAATTTCTTTGATTATTTTGGCGTGATTCTTAATGGCGTCGTCGTTGTAATCGTTTGCGTTAATATTGTTTACTACACTTCCCGCGCACTTTTTACTGCCAGATCTTTATTATCAGCCGCTAGAGAATCAGCTGTTTCCGCTGCAAGCCTTGTCACTTGCGTAGAGGTACTGAGGACTGTGTAATGTTAATATTGTTCACGAACTACACACATGCGCACATACAAGCGCACACGTGCATAGCAGGTGATAATGATACACAACGCTTCGGAAGATAGCTGCTACTACGCCGTAAAAAAATGTCAACGAAGCAACAAGTGCGGTATATTTCCACAAGTCATCATACGTTCTACGATAGGATTAGAGAATGAGGTGCAATATCAAACAATAACACTTGTGTTTAAATGAAGCTGTGAGATGAGTAATTGATCGCAGTAACAGTGCGTGCATGCTGTTTACGGCTTATTGTTATTAGGTACCTTGTTTTTATTTTTTTCGCTTGCTTTCTCTGTTAGCATAGGTACTAACTAGTCAAATACTTATGGATCCAAATTCATAAACAGTAGACTTGGCCTTGAAAACGCTGCACCTTCAGTATAAGGGTTATAGCTACTACTCATAAATTTGTTAGTAGATTCCTCTGGCCAGTTCCCGCAGAGAACGTGTTGAAAGTGCTTCTCTCGCCCGGACAGATAGACCTGATAAGAAAAAAAGTAATACATTTTAGTGCTACGAAGAATGTCCATCCAAACATACTAACATTTTAAGATTTCTTTGATTATAAAAAAAAAGAACATTAAAATCAATGCCGACACGAGTTCTTTGACAGATTTTTTATCTACAAAAATCAATGCCGACACGAGTTCTTGTGACAAATTTATTTTTTATCTACCCATACGTTCAAATTAGCCTTATAGAATGTAATAACAGTTGTTTACATCTTTGTTTACTATAATTTATTGTTACAGATTGCTCACTCGTCCCGGAGTGAAAAGCGTGGGGACCAGAATCTCAATAGAAGTGAACGAACGTCGCGGATTTTTCTGTTATCTCGTTGACAAGAAATCTATAGCTCCGACGTTTCCACACGAAGCGTTCTTGTTTTTCGAAGCAAACCGTATTATTGGAAAACGTCTCCAAACGTAGTAGGAGTAACAAACAGTGAAGGGCGAAAGTAAGAAACAACTGCCGTTGGAGTCGGACGGCTTGAGTGAGGTTGAGTCGTGTCTGCTTGTGTGAATCGAGCTCTTATCGTTAGACATACGACTGTAAATTCGGTTGTTGTTGGTTGGCGCCATTCCGTCGTCACGCGCGCACACACACACACACACACACCCTTTCACACAAACAAACAAAATGTCCTCTAATAGGAATGCACAGCCAGGAAGCGGGAACGGAACCACAGCCGGAAAGATCTGTCAATTTAAGCTCGTTCTTCTCGGCGAGAGCGCCGTTGGTAAGTATCCTACGCGGGTTAAGTAACTCACTCAAACGTTTAAGTATTGCTGCTTCAGACGGGTTGCTCTTAGCATGAAACAAGGCATGCCTAGGCTTGGTTTAGATCATCTTATGCGTCTCTAAGTTTAGTAGGCCAACACGCTACCACTGTACTATACCTGGGCACACCAATTTCAAATTTAAATTGCCTCACATGCCCTTAAAGGTAGCAGGCAAAAACGCGGCCACTGAACAAGCACTTAACTCAACAACCCACCCACCTAATAACACATTGTACTTAGGAGTATTATATATAGAACTGAAACGCCAAGGGCTTACAAAGGTAGTGCTCAACAGAACTTTTCATCCAGATTCTTTTACCAAGCTTATTGTTTCCTATGTGTTAGACATTCAAAGTCGAAGGCGCAGCTTTTTACCTTCAGAAAGTACGAATCCACCAGGTTGACGAAATAGAGACTTTGAATTAACGCAGCTTTCGTTATTTATCAACAGAAGCGCAGCAAGGTAAAGACGATCACGCTTATACTGTTTGGAAAATATCTAGTTGGTGAAATGATGAGAGAGCGAAAATCAATGAGGTATATTTTTTGCTGGCGGATGAGCGAGGTTATTTAGCAGTTGATCAAGGAGGGAGCCATCATGTTATAACAGCATCGAACTGATGCGTTTCTCTCTTTTTTCGTTACCAACTTCTCGGTCGATTTAGCTGTACCTCCTTGCTGCTTCACGCATGCAGTTTGAGAAGTACCGAGTGTATAGAGGTACTAAAATGACACGGCTGTAACTAAAAAACGACTTCGATTATGGCAACTAGACGTGCGTATAATGGGCAACAATATGCCACCGAGGCGTGTCAATGACTCGTTTCAATCCGCTTTGGCGGATTCCTTTGGCCAGTTTGTATCAAGCAACGAATCTCTTCCCTCTGCTTCCACGGCTCCTCGATTCCACAGCTAAGACTAAAACGTGCTCCGTATTTTGGACATTGCATTACGTACCACACGATCCGCGATAGTCCTAGCGTGACCGCTCTTTTTTTTTTATTTTGTTTATAAATTACTGGATTCGTATTTAACTTCTAAAAGGGCAAATGTTGTAAATATGTAGCGAACAATACATCCTAGGATGATCTATGGAGGTAATGCTTATCTGTTATTATGATCACTGACTTGAAGCAGCATACTGCGTTATAGATGATTAGCTAGGTAGCCTAAATGGATCCAACAATACGTCAAAAAGTAAAAAAAAGTCGGTAAATTCTGAAAACCTTTAGGTTTTCTGGATTTTTTAGATTTCTGGGCTACGTGTTATAGTGTGTGACACTGCTCATTTTCTTGGTATGGTATTTCCTATCATGTTAATCCTATGAAGATAACATCGAAGAAATAGATTTAAAAAGTGAGCAAAATGGCTGTAATATGTACAAACAGCGCGTAGTCGCTTTAATTCTGGCCAGTTCCCGGTTATGCGTGAAAATATTTAACAGATCTTACGCTAGGTATTTAAACATGTCAATACTGTAATTAGGGTCCGCTTTGTCTCACGTTTGATTGACATACAGGATTTTCTGTTGCAGATGCATGAAAACATTGTTCTCTTTAATCGAGTTGGATCTTCTATAGCAGCACGAATATCACGGAGTGATTTGAATTTCAGTGATGGCATTTGCGTATCCTTAAAGCTATGCTTGTTCTTCCTTTTCTGTTCTATTAATGCAAAAGAGCTCAACCGATAGGGGGAAGATCGCATCAATGACACCAAGAAACTGCACACATTGCAGTAGTGTGTCATTCCGCGCATACAATGCCTTATCAGTATAAGTACCACATGTGCGATTCTGTGATGTAAATGATCCGATTTTATTTCGTGTGCTTCGTGTTTACCTCTACAAGTGTAGTTTAGCAGTACTCTACATAACGCCTGACTGAGATAAGTCAACTCGGTTGAGAAGCTCTGATTAGCGAAAGCGATAACAATAAATTAGTTATATCTTATTAATATGCATATCAGATGACTTAGATGATAGAGTTATGAAACATCATTACTGGGGCTTTCTTAACATACATAGTTTAACCACTATTTTAGGGCTAGGATTATGTTATATCGCACGTTTACTCTGTTTTTCTTGTGAACAGAGATATATATAGAGGATGCGTACTTGCAAAGGAAACTTGCGATCGATGAAGCGATTTTATGTGTGAGCTCACTCAAAGTAGCCAACTGCGTATCAATAATTCAAGTGATCTTCGGTATATGTTTAATAATACAGAGTTCCTGGACGATGGGACAATGGTCCCGCTATGCATAGATCCGATATGTGAATAGAACGAAAGTGGTGTGTTCTATTCAAACAGCATATATTTCATCGTATCAGTATAAATGCAACTAAGCCGCATCACTAATGACTCGAGGGTCCTGAGTCACAAATTAAGACTGCATCAGGCTTACTTATATTCCTTCCTCCATAGGTAAATCATCGCTGGTGCTCCGTTTCGTTAAGGGGCAGTTCCACGAATATCAAGAGTCAACCATTGGAGCCGCCTTCCTGACACAGACCGTCTGCCTGGATGATACCACGGTCAAGTTTGAAATATGGGACACGGCAGGCCAGGAAAGATATCACTCCCTTGCTCCTATGTACTACCGAGGAGCGCAGGTGTGTACGCTTTGCTGTCGCTCCCTTCTAACATCTTGTTTACTGCGTGCCATCCATTTAGCTCATTTGAAGCCTGTAAAGTACGATAGAAGCAAAAGCCAAGTTTGTAAGGCACACGTCGGGTTTTATATTTTATTTGCACAATAAGAAAGTTATGCGTTAATACTCCAAAATAACCTCGGTTTATTAATTATTAATCATACCATCTATACCCTCATACAGTATTGTACATCTTAATCGCTACTGAATGGTTTCGTTATCACTAATTATTCCAGTATACGTAATTGACCGTTCTTGGAATACACTCACTAAACAAAATGAAAGCTTGAAAGCAATAGTTGTCAGTCATGCCATCTGTTGGCACTTTGTACATTGTTACCATCAAAAACTGGTAGCCATTAATCCCAGGGTCGCGGATATTGATATAGAAGAGGTGCTAGCTGCAGTATTGTATACCTGCCTCGAGGGCGGGAGGCTGCGCCCGCTGATTGGCTTGTTCCCTCTGGTATCATAGATCAGGTCAGTTGAACATTAGAGGTAGGTATTCGGGTGGATCTCGCCTGCTTTGCCGTAGATTGCATGCGAGTGTAATGGAATATCGATTTCTGGGATGTAGAAGGATTAGCTTTGCCCGTGTGTACCATCATTGTGTGACGGTGTATCTATGTTAGAAGGATGTACAAATTGGATAGCTAGCCATTTTGGTCCTTTCATTCCTTATTCTACAATAACTAGGGCAATAGGAGCTCCCCAAACGAACCTTTAATAGCGCGCCTATTCATACTTTGAATTGGTTTGTATATATTATTGTTAGAACTGCCTCAGGGATAAGAGGTATCGCCTCGTATTTCCAGTACTATTTTGTTGGGAAAACCATAGTGTTACGTATACAAAGTTTACCAATGATTTATAATGATTTATACTTTCAAATATATTTGCCAATTCCTCGAAGTCGTCTCTGGATGCACTTGTCGAGATATGATGATATATAACACTTCAGATCACTTTTGTATACGTGTTTTAATACTAAACATTTTCTGGATCGTAATAATACAATTACAGGAGGGTCGCAATCTCTTCTATATCTATCTCTTGCTCCTGAGACGGAAGTCAGCCTTACCATTGTTGGCACTTCCCAGTTAACTTTATGGTGTCTTTTTCTTTACTTTAGGCTGCCATTGTTGTTTATGACCTGACGAACGCGGATACGTTTTCACGAGCCAAGACCTGGGTCAAAGAGCTGCAACGACAGGCGTCGCCGAATATTGTAATCGCGCTTGCCGGTAATAAGGCTGATCTAGCCAACAAACGAGCCGTTGAAACCGCCGAGGCTCAGGTAGAAAATTATTGTTAACTCTTAGCACCATAAGAACTAATTAAATAATAGATACTCATTGAATATTAACTCTTGCTCAAACGACCTTATCAAGATGATAAGGTAACTTTCAAACGATATTGTTTAGTGTAGCACTCTTTTGATCAATCTTGAGCTTTCGCCTTACCGATTGTTCTGAACCAATGTTTTTACGCTAAGCCTTATGAATGTAAACGTCTCAGCTAAGTAACCCTGTTATCGATGCCATAGCGATTCTGATTTGACGTTGTCAGTATAGTTTTACCTAACGGCTAATCGGACTGTATTCACTTCGATTTAGGCTTACGCGGACGAGAATCAGCTTCTCTTCATGGAGACTTCAGCCAAGACTGCGTCTAACGTAAATGATATTTTCCTGGCTATCGCCAAAAAGCTGCCTAAGAATGAGGCTGCAGGAGGAGCTGGGCGAAACCAAGGCATTAACGTGGCACAAGGCGGAGAGAACACTTCGTCGGGTGGTTGCTGCAAATAGAATTTTTAACACGCACATCCGCAAAAAGGCACTACACGTTGTCACAAATACAATACCACCCGATACGCTGATATTATAATGAAGCAAGACAAAGCAACAACAAATCACAACAAAATGATAACAACAACTAGGAAAAACAACAGGACGTCACGCCGCCCTAGTAACCTCTGTTTATCGGCATTCTTCTCTTTGACAAAACCAAACGGCCCTCTCACGCATCGGAATCCACTGAAAAGGGATCTAGCGATAACGATTCCGTTTCTCTCACCGTGCCTAAAACAACGCGCCAGCGATTATAGTGGATCGTTCGGTATCCTGGTAGCTTCGGGATTGTCACTCAGAAAGGTGCAGATCACTGACCATGCTATTAAGACGAACATCAATCAGCAGCCCAAACAACTTTACCGAGCAGACGCAACCATATAGTCGGCACTGTCGGATCGAACCGAAATCATCTTCCTTTTTATTTCATTCGTTTCAGTTAATTTCAATTAATTTCAGCTGTGTGTCAGTTAGTTCGCCCGTTATTGATTTTTCAGATTTCAATGAAATGTCCTGCAGGTGGTCAACCGCTGACCTATTCCAGCTTGGTTATTCGGGTGTGGCTAAAATATGCGTACACGTAGTACAATGCATACGTCAGTGGCCAGACGAAATAAACAAGTTCACAAAGCTTTTGTATGGCCTGGCGGTCAGAGGTTAGGGGTTACACACAAGAGAGACGAACACAAAAAACAAAGTGTAGAAAGTTGATGGGTGGATGACGTCCAGCGATAGTATATATCGTCAAGTACAAGTATAATTCAATGGTGTATTATGATTTAAGATCGTGATAGTCTTGACGGAAAAAAGAACAGGCACGAAGAGCCTATACTGGTGCGAAAAACAAATCGAAGATACTAGAAACGTATTCTCTTGTCAATGTTCAGAGCACAACGTGACACGCTGGTAAAGACCGCTGGCATACATTTCTAATAATGAAAACATTACTTTTTTCGTCATTCTTCCTGAAATAAAAGAACAGTTCCATTACAACAACAAACTGAAAACATGTACCACGATTATTACACGAAGCTCAGACAAACCGACGAGTTCATCAGAAATATGTAACGGAGCTTGAATATAGAATAAGTAAGCTCTAATGGACGCCGGACGTCCTTGTGGAATCGATAAACTGCTGGTAGTGTGAGCGGTTTCAGGCTGCCCGCCTATAATTTGTATTACTAGACATAATATAGATTGAACTGAGGCCGAATGCTTCTATTTCGGCTGAATGTGATTTTTACTACTGATTTGTTGTCTTGTCTTCTGTCCTCGTGGTGCCCACAAGACGCCGTTGTTCCAACCAGAACTTCATAGTGCTCACCAACGACAATAATGATAACAACAGTTAAGGTATAAAATGAAAATTTTAGTATCGAGGGTCATAAGAGCTAGCTATTTTAGCCGTTTCAATTAAATTATTTTCATATATAAATGGAAAAAACAGCTTTCGTTATTTTGAGTATATAATTATGTTCACGCTCACGTTTTATACGCAATTAAGAAATAATAAGCTTCTCTATTTAGGAAATATATTTTTCTGGAACTACCTATTTCTATCAAGTTATGACGTAAATAAAGTCTAGAAAAAATTTTGTTTATTTTTGGGTCTTATCTGATTCAAGAAATTATAGACACCGATAGAGGTGACGTATCCTAAAAAATCCTGTCATGCTTAAAACGTTTTCGGTCTCCCCTATTGATATTCGTATGATGGCATTAGTAAGGGAAAGTTTTTCCATATTACGACTAGCTGGTAACCTAGTCATGAATGTAAATTTTTTTATTTTGACAGGCGTTTTTACGCGTCCCACCCAGGTGTCGCTTTTCACCTTATAGAATATGTTCGGATAAGAGCATACCTTTTTCGCAGGTATTTTGAATTTATTAGATTTACTGATATCTTTTTAATCAGTTGTATATACCTGTCCAATCGCGCACAGAGCTCCGCGTTTTGGCGGCATGGGCGGGATATTCAAAAGATACCATATTTGAGCAAACCGACAAGAAGCTAATAAACAAGTAAATTCTCTTATCGTGAATATAACAATAAGTTCTACATTGAACAGACACTTACATACATGACACAAAGAACCATACTATAAAATTTATACGATTACTAGTGTTTATGGCTATGATTACTAACACAGAGTTACTTTGCTTTAAATAGAAGCAATGATAATAGAAGTACGGAACCTTTATAGAGGCAGTAGATTCTTGGCAAAAAAAAAACACGGAAGTATGTGACTACACACAACGGTTTGGCGGAAGATCACACATATATTGGAAAATTGGCAAACGTCGTCCACCTGACTTTTGTTCATCTGCTATCTGGAAAGAAAAAAGTCAATGAATGAACACAGCTAAGAATATAAAATAGAGGGACACCTCAATATAAATGTAATAAATTATTCCTATGTCTTACCTCTTATGTCGATACGATTGAAAATGCTAATGATGGGGATGGCAAGCTGCTGCTGCTGATATTACTAATGAGTATGATATTCGGCTGGTTACGATGGAACGAAGCTAAGCGAAACCGTAGCTGGCATGCAGCGAAGTAGAAGATGAACTATCACAACAGCTACGACCATGAGTGACATAATTACATCATGAGAATAGGATCAGTTGAGCATGTTGGCGAATACCTGAAGCAGCCGAAAACAGGTGAACGATCACACAAATTATTACAGCTACAATGAGAGAATATTATGGCGAAGAGGGGTGGAAAAAAGGACGGCGGTTACTGACGATCACCACGGCAAGTGATGACGGCGATCTACTACTAGCAGAAGTGAGTAACGTTTGTGCGCTTGATTAAGGGCGAAGAAGATGCAGTTGATATGAAGAAGGTGCAGTATGATAGTTATCATCACCACGGTGATGATGACATGCTGCAAAAAAGAATGTTAGGTATTAAGAAGATTCCGTTTCTGGTAAGTGGACGGCAGTGGGGCGGGGTCATTAAGTGAACTGGAGGTTGGTTGCTCTCACTGTTGTCCTGTTAGATGAATATGCACATTACGTTGATTGATTTGTCTGACTGGTAACCGTAATTTGTTACGCTGGCTGGCGACACACGCCTAATGAGACAGAGACATGTTGAGTAAAGACCTGCGCAGTCGTAGGCCGCAAAGATTGTTGACATGACTTAGAGAAGACGAGGGAGAATATCGCAAGGCTGATGACCGAACAACGTTGAGGCACAATCAAGTGCAAACAACAACTACAGCTACAACAACAACAACAACAACAACAACAACAATGATGATGTAATAGTAATGTGATCGCGTGACGCGGAGACATCCTGAGCGGAGTCATTTAGGTTTACTAGAAAATTTTATTGATATAAAACTTACGTCTATATATTATAAATAAATAAGTCATTATAGTTATTATAATGATATATGTTATTATTCTTATTCCTATGTACTATGCTGATGCGGTTGGTTTATTTGGTAGACCGCAGGCCGTGTAAATGTGGTCCTCCACCTACTTAGTAAAACTGAGTACCTCCACCCCCTTCGCGGTGCTTTCCGCGACTCGCAGTTTTTCCACTTGATCGACAATGAATTGATGATCGGCCCATATGTTTATACTAACGTTTGCCGTCGCCATAAACGCATCGCGTCTCTTTTCTACGTGACCCCACCCGCCCACTATGTCACATAGAATGTTAATTTTTATTAAGATATGAAATTGATAATGACAATAATAATACATGAGATGAATATAATGACGGTGCGGAGAGCGCAATGAGAAACAAAGCTATTCGATGGATAAAACGATGAGGCTGAGCAGAGCAAAGTTCGTTTTACACGAACAAGGCCATCAACTGAATTTGCGGAAAGATCGTTGGCGACGGTGATAATGAAAAAGGAATGGGGATAGCAGCGCAGCAGGAGAAAGAGGTCGAAGAGCGTTGAAGTTGACAAATAGAAACAGGCGTGGAGGATGAGCAAAAGGATGTCAATAAAGTAATGACGTCAGTAACTGGAAAATGTCGATGGCAAATCGTGGGCAATGCACTGCGACGCTGCTAATATATATATATATATATATATATATATATATATAATATATATATATATATATATATATACAACCGCAACAATAAGAAGAACGATATGGCAAAAAATAAGTATGAATAAATACATTTACATGATTACTTAAGTATACATAAGAAAATTTCCTTAACAAAGGCATGAAGATAAGGTTGACTGGTTAGGCTTGAGGATTTTGTGTTGTCTCTTCCGGATATGTAGCATATATGAATCGCGCTTTAGGAGGTAACATAACTATAATATTAGGGATCTAGCTTCACACATTATGACAAGATTTGATTTCTCTATGCCGGCCAGTCGACTCCTAATCCAGTGTGCTTCGATATTTCCCACACACACAAAACCACCCATATATACATATATATGACGTTTCCTTGTCTATTTGCTACGATGACGAAGATAAACGAAAAAGAATATAACAGCAACACACGTCCACATCTGTGTAACTGTATATGAGGCCCAATGATGGGGAGGTATAAAACCGACATAACAGCACTGAATCAACGTTATAAATTACTGAGGATGACGCTAATGATTACGAAAATGAAGATAACTATATCGAATAGCAACAACATCAACAAACGACAAACCTAGAGACTGTGAAATAAAAAGAAATTTAAACGACGTTTTTAAGCCTGCACATATTAATTGTCTAGACGGATGACTAGTAAACTAATATCTATAGGATATGTTCACACGATACTAAAAACTATCAAAATTACGTTCTTACCATATGAAACAGGGGATAGTGTTTTTACTCGGGAGTTTTTATCAGCTAAAGGAAGGAAGGGTTGGGATGTTCAAACGCATGGGAAAGTTTCATTTAGTCCCCAGTTCGGTCGGCTTGACTACGGATAGGTACATTCTCACACTCACACGCATACGTCTATACTTTGGATTGTGTAGTAAGTATAATCATTTTCAAATACACAGCAATTATTGTTAGATGTGAATCAACAACAATAAAAGAATAAATTTTATTACTTTTTAAAAAGAATTGCTTCCTTGTTGTTATGCTCGCATAGTGAGTGTATCTAATCGCATCTACCACTAAGCACATTATATTATCTTGTTCAAATGGGAACAATAGCCAGTTTTCATCGATTTCAAAATAAGATCCTTAGTGTGTTCCTTAAAATTCGGATTATTAAGCCAGGTGAACATGAATCTGCTAATGCAACAAGGTAATAAATTAACGCTAATGGCAACGGCATGACTTCAACCAGGTAAACCTAAGCCGAAGTGTCCGGGCCAAATCTGAAGCTTTTGAAGACACCGTTAAACGTCCTACGTAGGAATTTTTAAGAAGAAAAAATACCCATATAATTCGTACAGAAATATCTTATTCTAAGTGAGATTTTATTTACAGGTAACGGCATCACCCGGCATTGTCCATTCACGAAATAATGTTCAGGCTGCCCAATAAGACGGGTTTAATATATACATGGGTTTCGCAATTGACACTTAGTCCACAAAAAAGTACAAAAGGTACCAACTTTTGTACAACTTTCATTACATGCTCAAGATAAGGATCGCAACGGAACTTCGCTTTTTTTTCTTCTTTATGAGACAGTGCACACTTTTTAGCCACGATTGTGTATTTCTCTGCAATGGCTAAAACATAACTGTTCTTATAGCACTGAAAATGAAAACTTCAGCTTAAAATTTTACAAATTTCGTTAGTACTGGCAAAAATAAGCAACCGCCACGACCGTTTTAATGTGTCAAACTGAATTTAAGAGTCCTGTAGTGATGCGTGGATGCACGACTTCATTGCTCTTTAGATATAGCATATAAAAACAGTAATAACAACAACAATGTCATCTTACGTCGTCCACCTAGATTAAATTAGAGTTTGTTGTTATGTAAAGGCACTATGATGACGAAATATTAAACTATGCAACACGTACACGTACGGAAATCGTTCGGTCTGCATGCTTTATGCGTATAGTGTAGCTTCCTCAAGGATGATGTATTGCACTTGTTTAGACGTTCGATGAATGATCTATTAACTTTCATCATTGGATTCCATTCGAATGATATCTGCTGTATTTTTCTTAAAGTCGCGAACGTACTCCCTGCATAAGTTGTTCCGCCAACACATCTTAGTCGACGACTTGATAAACTGAATTTGTTTAACCATCCAACGGCCTGTGGATGAAAATTGACGTAGTAAGCGAGTTTATTTTTCGAGCGTTTTGGCACATGAAACAACTAATTATCAATTCATTTACCCTGGTAGTGAGGCGAGTGAAAAAAAGAAGCTAGCCTTTTAACCGCAATTCGCGGATGCTGATAAGCGGTTTCTTAGGTAAGTCTCTCATGATCGGATAATGTCACTATAGTAAAAAAAAACAAAAAAAATTCAAGCTACGCGTAATTAGCCTTTGAGACTGACGCTTACGTCGACACTACACAATTTTTATCAAAAAAAGCTTTATTTATGCGCCTAAAGCTACACATTTATTAGTACTAATTTATGCTAGATATTGACAACACAAGAGTCGTGTGGTGACCGACTGGTTTATTGGTGATCGACAGCGGTCCTCGTGACAGAGGTCACTGGGCAGCGCTCCGTGGCGGCGAACATTATGTATGCTGCAATACGCTTTGAATATGCGGTTTTCATAAAATGTCCTACATATTTTCCATTAAATTACCCGATAGATAAGGCATTGGCTTCCAGAGCGTTTTTGATGAATCTTCCATTTGTTAGTTTCATATTTTTTGTTACAGTGTTACAAATGCTATGTAACGAGAAAAACACTCTCCCCCGCGCAATTATAAACAGTAATATGTCTCACACTACTATAAAGGATGATTTTATCAATGCATCAGTTTACATTGAGCTAGTGTAGAAATACAGGTGGTAGCTCACTGGTCATTGCTGCCCTCCGCCACATTTATTTGCTAGTGTGTTAAATAAGTTGATTAGAAATTTTGAGCGGAAAGCAAGTATAATAAAAATTGCCTTAAGGAACGCGACACAATTTTTATCACACAAGGTCCACTATATGCTATAGTGCTACAAATACAATGCTGCGTTATATTCACAATAGATAATTAAGCCAAACTAACCTGCACCCGGCATAACGGTAAGAACGGTCAACGATGAGCCAATAATGACGAGCCCAATCGAAGGCCACAGAACAGTGAAAATGTTCTCACTGAAGAATAGCAAAAAGGCGCCGCCCAAAGTGAAGCATAATGACACCACAAACAATGAAGACATCACCTGAATAGACAAATCACAGCAAAAAAAAAGAAAGCTTACATTCAGGCCAACCTCAAGTTATAGATTATATAGCTTCTTTGCTGACGAATGCTTTGGATTGGCGATGATAGTGCAGGCTCAATAAACACCACTTTTTTCACTTTCGGCTTATTGCTCTGGAGAGAACATAAAACTCTGTTAAATATTCGTTCAGATGTGTCGTATAAAAGAAAGGTGAGGCGAATATGTCAACTTCATTACGAACTCTCCCGAGAACATAGAAACAGACATCTCTTTCGAAATTATTATACCCGCCCACATTCTTCGACGATGCTTGAATCCACTTTTGTTACAGCATCCAATTACCAGTATTCCATTGTATAAAATATTGATAATGTTCCAATTTCACCTGACGAATAGATAGTATTATTCAAGAAGGGTGTACCTTGAGCCTATTCAGAGCATCTTGGAGTGACTAACGAGTCAATAGAGCTGGAAGTAGTTGATATGAAGGCTACGCTATTTAGTATGTATGTGTGTGTGTGTGACTGAATTGTGTAGAATATCTTAGAAATATGAATACGAAGCGTGCAGGCTAAGTCCGTCCAATGTAGAGATTTGGCCAGGGGCTTGTAACTTTCGGCATGTTGAATACACTGTGGCAACAGATCTAAGCCGATGATATATAGGAATCGGAATGCGTCCTACCGGACAAGGCAGCCGAGATGCATTAATCGATAGATGTATAAATCAACATAGGTTTTGGTACTATAAATAATGCATGCTTCATATCAATTATTTACTATAAATATAGTGTAAAAACGCTGAATACACCCACTGGTGTTCAATAGATGTCGCCTAAGCATCGTTAATTCACGTTAAAGCCTATTAAATACACCAGCAAAATTAATACCGAATAAGCTATCTGGCCGAAATATATTCTTAACTTTTACAAGGAAAGCCCCCGCTGCATGATCTAGAAATCAAAAAGTCATATATTCAGTTTATATCTCTTGTTTGGGTTGTGTGTCGCTTCTGCGGGAAACAGTGCTTCAGACACACGCAAGCATGGCACGTGACTACGACGTTCAATAAAACGTATATGTTACAAGTAATTTTGGTTCTTTGTTTGCTATGTTTACGCACATGCACATAAACTATATTTTTCTTACACCGGAGATTCGTAACGATATATTATAATATTAGAGAACGGGCAACTGAGAAATCGTAGTGTGGACTTTTTCTGTGCAGTTAGCATCTGTATCACTAAGATCCCACAGAGTATTCACAACTAGCCCCACGTGACTAGTATGACCTAGTGTATAATCCCGCATTAAAGCCATGTGCAAACGCACGCAAATAAGTAATAGCAAAGAAGTAAAAGGAACTCGGGTGACACTGCATTTCTGAAATGCTGACATTGTCTACAAATATTGTGACCGCTTACCGCTGACCGTACGCTACGCTCCTTTGATGCTCTTCCTTTTTCGTCTAAGCTATCCATGCATCGTTTTGCAGCAGCGCCATAAGCGTCACACTCGCAGGTCACATCATGAACAGAACTGTACAAGCCACCCGTTGAAGGTGAAGCTTCAAGGAAGAGAGTGAAGTTATTGGACCAAGTGTCCCCACGCGAGCTTCCACATGCTCATGCATTCTACATAACGAATACATAAGTGCTTAGCGACTTTGGTTACCAATACTAATCCTGTGTAGCTTACTCGGTCATAATATCCATTACCATATCTAATCAAGAACTCGGGATAAAACCTGATTCTACGAAAATTTAGGAAAGTTCTACATTTCGTTCACGTCTGTGACTGATGCAGAATAGGCAAAGCAACAACTGATGAAAAATTAATTGTCAATGGCGGTGGTGTTAGCCATGTAGTCATGAATGAAAATTAGAAGATGATGCTCCACAATGAGTAGATTTATTTAAGAAGGAAAATGTTCAATAAAAACCTTACGTAATGGTAAAAATTCTGCCTAAGTGTTAAGGAGATCGCTGTATATCTGTGTTCGTTTATACCCATCACTTGATTTTGTAAACGATTAATAAGACGCTTGTACAACACCTGTTGCGGCTCGCTAGTAACACATTCTCTAATAATATTATATAACACAAAATTGTGTATACTATATGAAAATACTGTATGTTATGCTGTTGTGCGTAAAATATCCTTTATCAATGCCAATACGAATAATAACTGTGTTTACTTTCTTTGCTTCGAAATGTTGATTGAATAGTAAGAACGACGAATTTGACTTAGTTTTATTACAAGCAAAACCCGCCTATTAGAGGCGAAAAGCAAGCTTGGTCTCAGCACGTTTAAGGTTTTTTTTATCTTGTATACTTATGGGATTAACTTTAACGGTATTGCTTCGGCTAGAGCTGAATAATATTGGCAAATATACGTACTCAGTCATATTTGTTGGCTATCTATTAATGGTGCACATGAAATATTCTATTGGATCATCCAGAGTGTGAAGGAAATAGAGAAAAAATATGTATTTTCAAAATTTGGATGAAAAAATGACCTATGCCATTTTATTGTGAAACGAAGCATTAGATCGGACTGAACCAACGTGATACCGCAGTCGATCTAAGAACAACCTGGTTTTTTTCGTATAATCCGTTTGATCTGATCCACTGACTTTTAACTTAAAGGC